CTCCAGAATAGAGAGCTCCAATTTTTAATTTATGGCTGTGTTGATACTGTAATAATTTAAGTCCAAGTTGTCATACTGCAAATTTTATTTTTAATGATGCTTGAGTACAGAGAGAACAGATAGAACACAGATAGATAGCAATTGAGTTGGTTGAAATGAGGGCTTTGCCCATAACTGTAGGTGGTTAAATGGTGATGAAATAGTATTGGAAAATGCTGAGAGAATATTATTGGAGCAATAAAACAACTAAAGTTTGGTGTAATAAGAGAGTCCTCCTGGCTCTGGGAGGCAGAGGAGATTTCTTTTCTAGTCCCTTCTTGATATTCATTCCTTGTCTGATCTTTTACAAGTCACTTAACATTTCTGGACCTCATTTTTTCTTCTGCAAATTGAATGCATTGGATTAGATGACCTTGAGTATCCTTTCTAGTGCTAATGTCCTATGATAACATGACATTTTTATTTATTCTTAGTTGTTGAGCTTTCTCTTATATAATATCAGCTTGGGAAATGCTACCCAATTTTTTTTTGAAGTCATACCAGACAACCATATGGAATTATCTATAGTTTTAAAAGTGTAGTTATTGCCAAACTTAGTATGCAAGCCTGCAGAAATAGCTACTCAGTTATTCAGCAAGCATTTCTTAAATGCCACTGTGTGCCAGGTACTGGGCCAGGCTCTGGAGATATAAATGTATAGTCCATTAAGGGAGAGAACACATACAAAATTAAGCGTCTTCAAAAATAAGTTTATGATAAATGTTGAGAACTGCTGCCAGGATCAAGAAGGGTAGACTCATTAAAGTAAAGAAGATATCTTTCTTTTTTTAAATTATTATATTTTTTATTAATTTATTTTGATTTCTCAACAATCACATAAACTTTTGAGTTTTAAATTTTTCTCCCGCTACCCCCTCACCTCCCTCCCCAAGATGGTGCACAATCTGATATAGGCTATACATATACAGTCCTATTAAACATTTTCACATAAGTGATGTTATAAGGAAGAATTAGAACCAATAGGAAGAACCACAAGAGAGAGAAAACAAAACAGAAGAAAAAAAAATAGCAAATAGTATGTTTTGATCTGCATTCAAACTCCATAGTTCTTTCTTTGGATGTGGATAGCATTTTTATCAGGAGACCTTTGGAGATGTCTTAGATCCTTGCTTTGCTGAGAAGGGCTAAGTCTATCAATGTTAGTCATTGCACAATGTGGCTGTTACTGTGTACAATGTTCTCCTGGTTCTGTTCACTTCACTCAGCATCAGACCACACAAGTCTTTCCAGGTTTTTCTGAAGTCAGCCTGCTCATCATTTCTTATAGCACAATAGTATTCTATTACATTCATATACCACGGCTTGTTCAGCCATTCCACAAGGGAAGATATCTTCCAAAAAAAAACTTCAGATGTTATTTTTGTATCACTTACATTTCTCACTTAATCCCTCTCCTGACTCCTCCCAGAGAGCCATCCCTTGTAATACAGAATTTTTAAAAGGAGAAGGAAGAAAAAAGTTCAGTGAAAATAACCAACACAAAACAAGTCTGATATTACAGTGTTCAGTCATAGTCTACATCCTGTATAAAGAAGTAAAGCGACATTGCTTTTCGCATATCTCCTTGGGACCAAGCTTGCTCATTATAATTTGATACCATTCAGGTTAAATTGTTTTGTTGTTGTTTCTATTTACATTACTCTCAGTATATATATTGTTTTCCTGGTTCTTCTTACTTCACTTTGAATCAGTTTATATAAATTTTCCATGTTTCTGGGTTTCCACATATCTCCAAATCACCATATTAATAGTTTCTTATAGCACTTGGGCATTTTAATCATATTCTTGACATAATTCCAGAATGTTTACTAGTTTCGATTCACAGCTCTACCAATGTGCTAGAGTTCAGCCTTGACTATGTCTACTTATGGCATCTTTGCCAGGTTGCTGGGTGTGAGGTAAAACCTCTGGGTTGTTTTGATTTGCATGTCTCTTGCTAATGATTTGGAGTCTTCTTTCTGTGGCTGTTTGCAGTTCTTTTGAGAAGTGTTTCTTCATATCCTTTGGCTACTAATCTGTTGAGGAACAACTTCTGATATTATATATTTATAAGTTCACTACAAATCTCAGATGCTCATTAGAAAGAGAATATAGAAATATTTATTAAAAATATTGAGAGTCTGTAAGGAGTAATTATCTTTTTATTATTCACCTATGGGCCTCTACTTCCCCTCTACTCATTCCTATATCTTCCCACCCTTTGTTTTGTCTCCAAAAACAAAATACTTTGATTTGCCTTTAGGAGGATTTAAAAAAAATAATATTTATTTTTACTTTTCAACATTAAGTTCTGTAAGCTTTTGAGTTTTAAATTTTCTTCCTCTCCCCTCCCACCTCCCCAAGATGGTGTACAATCTTATATAGGCTCTACATACACATTCATATTAAACATATTTTCACATTAGTCATATTGTAAAGAAGAATTAGAAGAAATGGGAGGAACCACGAGAAAGAAGAAACAAAACAACAACAACAACAACCACAAAGAGAGGAAATAGTATGCTTCAATCTGCATTCAGACTCCATAGTACTTTCTCTGGATGTGGACAGCATTTTTCATCAGGAGTTGTCTTAAATCCTTGCATTGCTGTGAAGAGCCAGGTCTATGAAAAGTTAGTCATCAAACAATGTGGCTGTTCCTGTGTACAGTGTTCTCCTGGTTCTGCTCACTTTACTAAGCATCAGTTCATATAAGTCTTTCCAGGTTTTTTTGAAGTCTGCCTGCTCATCATTTCTCATAGCACAACAATATTCTGTTACATTCATATACCGCAACTTGTTCAGCCATTCCTCAGTTGATGAGCAGCCCCTCAGTTTACAGTTCTTGGACACCACAAAAAGAGCTGCTGTAAATATTTTTGTGTATGTGGGTCCTTTTCCCATTTTTATGATCTCTTTGGGATAAGTGCTAGAAGTGCTGTTGCTGGGTCAAAGGGTACATTTTTGTAGCCCTTTGGGCATAGTTCCAAATTGCTCTCCAGAATGGTTGGATCAGTTGACAACTCCACCAACAGTGTATTAGTGTTCCAATTTTCTATGCCTTCTCCAGCATTTACAATGTTCCTGCTTTGTCCTGTTAGCCAATCTGATAGGTGTGATGTGGTACCTCAGAGTTGTTTTGATTTGCATTTGTCTAATCAATACTGATATAGAGCATTTTTTCATAGGCTACAGATAGCTTTAATTTCTTCATCTGAAAACTGCCTATTCATATCCTTTGACCATTTATCAATTGGAGAATGACTTGTATTCTTACAAATTTGACTCAATTCTCTATATATTTTAGGAATGAAGCCCTTATCAGAGACATTTCCTGCTTCAAATCTCTTTTCATTCCGTTGTGTCCTCCACAGTTTTCAAAATGATTTTTACTAAACTACTGATCTGACCATGTTACTCCCCTACACAATCAAGTCCGAGGGCTTCCTGTCATCTCTAGGATCGAAGATAAACTCCTTTCTTTGCTATTAAAAGCTTCTTGCATGCTAGCCTCAGCTTACCTTTCCCGCTTTATTCGATTACTTCCTTTTGGTCTAGCCTAATTGGCCTTCCTTACTGTTTCTCAGCACTGCTTATACCCTCCATCTGCCTTTGCATATGCCCCTTGTCTGGAATTCATCCCCTCCTAACTTCTGCCATTTAGTACCCCTGGTTTCCTTCTAGACACAGCTTCTTCTGCATGGTGTTGCCTGACCACATCATTCCCCTGTTTCATAAGCTTCATAAGTCTTCTAGGATTAGATAGAGCATTTATTAAGTGCTTACTGTATGCCAGGCATTGTACTAAACACTGAGGATACAGAAACTAACAAACAAAAACAAAATGACCAAAAAACCCCTGAAATGTTCCCTCTTTTTGAGGAGCTTGCATCTAACAGGAAAGACAAAGCATGTGATAAGATGGAAGCAGGGGAGAGTGAGAGCAAGCCAGCTCCCTGAAATCTCTAGGATCAAAGATAAACTCCTTTGTTTGCTATTAAAAGCTTCTCACATGCTAGCCTCAGCTTACCTTCCCGCTTTATTTGACTACTCCCTTTCGGTGTAGCCTAATTGACCTTCCTTACTGTGCATAAATATATAAGTACAAAATAAATACAAAGCAGAAACAAGGTAATTTGGGGGGAGGGAAGAGATCAAGAAACACTTCCTGTAAATAGGAGGAATCATTTGAGACCAGCTTTGAAGGAAAACAGTAGTGCATTCCAGGCATGGAGGAAAGTCTGTATGGAGATGGCTACTGGAATATTATAGCTGAGGAACAGCAAGAAGGTCACTTTGTCCAGTATATGAAGGGAAGTAATGTATAATGAGCCTGGAAAGATAGGCTGCAGTCAGGTGGTAAAGAAGTTTAGATGTTAAAAAGAGATGTTTATATTTGCCATGTTGCTCAATTTCCACTTCTTAACTGCTCCACAGTAACCACAGCAAATTGCTTGATACTTTGGGAGTAACCTCCTGAGGCTGACTCAATGATTAGTTAAAGTCCTGTCTGGAATCCCTGTACCATGAGTAGGCCCAGCCATACTGCTTAGTCTCCACTTTTGGCTCACTCTCCACTAAAGGCTCCCTTTCCACAAGCCTGCTCCATCTATACGTTGGCTGGTTAGTCATAGTTACCAGCCTTCTTAAACAATTTCTCTTGACAGACCTTCTTTAGATTGACAGTACAAATGAAGACCTAAATTCATCTTTACCCTGCCACTTTTTAATGGTCTAAAGTTTTTTATGCTTTTGTCCACATCTTTCCCCCTGGAAATAGGGAGAGTAGTTGGTCAGAGTAATTTTGTGGAAGGCAAGGTCAGGGTATACTTGTCTAGTTTCTTTCCCTTTGTGTTCCCCAAATACCTTTCTAACATGCCAAATTAGGATTTGAGAAATGTTTTCTCTTAAGGTTTGCCATTTGAAAATAACTTTCTTCTCTTCTGACTTTTCCTTTTCAGGAAACACATGAAATTGTGGCAATCAAGAAATTCAAGGACAGTGAAGGTATATTTTTCTGTATATTAAAGTTTTTGTATAACATATATAGAACATATATGCCTTATCAAGCAAAAACCTTATAACCAGCTGAGATTTTAAAATAAAAGCCTAAAGAGATGGAGTAATAGACATTTTCTAGGACTTTGATTTGGAATATTAAGTCCATTTTATGGGAATAAATGAAAATCACCATCATTAGATGTTAGAAAATCCATTTTTAGTTGAAGATGTGATCAGTGATCAGGGAAATGAACAAATTGTATAATTTGAATTAGATATTTCTATACTTTAATACACATTCTGTATGTTACTATATTAGAGCTTTTAGTTTCACTTACTGTGATTTTTATTTCATAGAGTTAGAAATTTAAGGGAGGGTGATCATGGTGTGTCATATAAAGGTGTCTACAACTTATAACAATTTATAATTCTTGGGGAAGGAACAGACTTTTCAAGGAATAAGTACTATGTTTAGAGATATGTATATTGTCATTTATATAGTTTTAGTTCCCAAGATGCACATTCCACTGAAATATTACAGAATATTTCAAGTGGAATGTTGAAACCAATCTATGTTGACCAAGAGCGATAAAGCATAATAGCTCACTTGAACTCCACCATATAAAATCAATGCATTAGTTAAGAATGAAGCAAAGAGTTGATCAGAAAAGCATGATTTTTGGAGTTTGATAGATGACCTGCATTCAAAGAAAACTATTTTAAGACTAAACTAGAGATCCATAAAATAGCAGTCATGTTCAACTTTTATCATCAACATACATTTATTTATTAATATTAAGTACCATTAGACTTGTGACTAAGTTAAGATGAACAACAATTTTATTAAACTAACCATAAAACCTAATTAACGTTAAGTGGCTCAGCAAGATCTAGCAACAAAGAGGTCCTAGACACAATGAAATTCTTTGTTTTCTTTCCTCTTCTGGCAAGCCTAATATATGCAGTGAATGAATTACAACGGGATGCCCAAACAGCTATTACATGGGCAGCCAAAGAAAGGGGGGCCAAAATAATTGCTCTCAAGATGCTCTGAAAATAGCTTCAAGTAAAGGAGAAAAAGAACAGTGAATTTTGATATTACACAATCTGTAATAATGGGAAAAGAAGGTGTTCTTCTCTCTTTCTCTAATATGAATGAGGTCACAAGTATATAAACCAGGAAGAGAGAAAATATTTTAAGAAAGTTCTAGATTAATATTCTTAATGTGCATTGAGGTAAAAATTTGAAATAAAATATTATTCAAAAGAATCAACAACAAAAGTTAGGAAAATTGTATACGGTGACAAGGTTGGATATATAACAGGAATGTAGGGTTGATTCAACATCAATATAATAAATCATGTTAATAACAAATAATAAAACATTATTATTATACCAATAGATGCTGAAAAGGATCTTAGCAAAATCCAATATCTATGTCTGGTAAAAAAAAAAAAACAACCAAAACCACTAGAAGGTATAAGAATAAATAAATCTTTCCTTAATATAGCAAACATTATATGTGATGGAAAAAAGTTAGAAGCTTTTCCAGTAAAATGAGTGGTAAAGCAAGGATGTCCGTTATTACCACCGCTATTTAACAAAGTCCTAGAAATGCTTACGATAGCTGTGAAAGAAAGAGAAATTGAGACTAAGCATAGCAAAGAGAAAACAAAAGTATTGCTTTTTCCAGTTATATGATTCGCATTGTAAACCTCAGCATCAATAAAAAATTAATTGAAACAAAACCTCAAAGTTGCAGAATATGAAATATTCACATAAGTCATTATCATTCCCTTATATTACCAAGAAAACCTGAAATATGAATATAAAAATATGAAGAGGCAGAGAAATTCTATTTAAAATGACTATTAGATGGTATAAAATATTTGAGAATGTTTCTACCAAGATAGAACCAGGAACTGTATAAGTATTACTATGAAACACTTTTTGCAAAAATAAAGACAAATCTAAATAATTGGAGAAATATTACTAGGTCACTGATAATAACAAATATGATATAAATAATATACTTTTATATAATAATATATGGTATAATATAATAAAAATGATAATGCTACCTACCAAACTACCAGCAGATTATTTTATAGAGCTAGAAAAAAATAATAACAACATTCATCTCTAGGAGCAAATTTAGTCAAGAATCTCAAGGGTAAAAATGAAAAAAGAAAGCAGCAATGATGAAGATCTTTTGGTACCAGAACTGTACTACAAAGTAATAATTATTAAAACAGGAAGGTCAGTCAGTGAAACAAATTAGGTACACAGTATACATAAGCAAGTAAACATAGCATGATGTTTGATGAACCTAAAGACTAGTGTAGACTCACTATTTGACAAAAACTCTTGGGAAAGCTATGAAACAATTCGATAGACACAACATCTCACACTGTATGCCAACATAAAGTCCAGATGTATACATGATTGAAATATAAAAAGTGATGTCTTAAATCAGTAAATCAAGGAAGAAATTACTTTTTAGATGTATAGATAGGGGAAAGTTCATGACCAAAGCAATAAAGAGGATCCCAGAAAATAAATGAATAATTTTGAGTATATAAAACTGAAAAATTTTTGCCTAAATGAATCTTAATGCCATTAAAATTAGATGGGAAACAGAAACTGGGGGAAAAAAAGTTTCTTTGATAAAGGTCTCATATCCAGGATATATAAGGAATTGAATAAAATTTGCAAGACTAAGAGTCATTCCCAAATAGATAAATAAATAAATTATTCAACATTTTAAAGTGCTTACTATGTTCCAGGCATGGGTCAAAACATATAAACAGGTAGTTTTCAAAGGATGAAATCCAAACTTTCAATACCATATGAAAAATGCTCCAAACCACTAATAATTAGAGAAATGCAAATTAAAACAGCTCTGAGTTCCATTTTACGCTAGTTTGAATTGGGTAAAGATGATGAGAGAAAAATCACAAAATACATTGTAGAGCTGTGAGTTAGTTGATCTAGGCCAGGGCTTCTTAAGCTTTTTGCACTCATGACCCTTTCAGCACTTCTCAAATGGTGGGTCATGACCCCTGACCCTATGGGGTCATGACCCATAGTTTAAGAAGTGCTGGGACATTCTAGAAAATACTGTGCTCTTAAGAAAGGTCCAAACCGTACATACCCTTTAACCCAGCTATACCACCACTAGGTCTATATACCAAAGAAATTTTAAAAAGAGGAAAAGGATTTCCTGCTTACAAATTTTTGTGGTAGCCCCAAATTGGAAACTAAGGATACAGCTTCCTCTTGGGGAATGGTTAAGCAAATTGTGGTATATCAGTGTAATGGAATGTTATTTGACCTTATGAAATGATGAAATCTAAAGTTTTAGAGGAAACTGGGAAGGCCTTTATGACCTGATTCAGAGTGAAGTGAACAGAATTGGGAGAACAGTTTACTTGTCAGCATTATTATAGAGAAAAACAACTTTGAAAGACTTTTTAACTCTGATGAATAGAGTTTACAGGATTTTACAGGATTAAACTAAAGATAAATCATGCCACCCATCTCCTGCCAGATAGGTGATGGGTTTAAAATCCAGAATGAGACTCACATTTTTGCATATGGCCAATATGGAAATTTGTTTTGCTGGACTTTGCATGTTTGGGTGTGTGTGTGTGTCTGTGTGTCTGTGTGTCTGTGTGTGTGTGTCTGGTTTATTGTTTATTTAGGGGGTGGGTGTTATGGGAGGGAAAATGATTTTTAAAAAATAGTTTCAAGCAAATAGATCAAGCAATGTAAAAATATCAGTGAACTCATAGGAAACAGTAGCAGGAGGAAGACCAGCCTGATATAATCAGTCTTGAAGAAGGTAGCTTTCTTTTTAAACAAAGATTTTGGACCTTTTAAGAGTCTATAACACAGAATAATAAATGGTTAGGGATTTTGAAAGTAATACCTGTAGCTACAAATTAAAGAATAGCTTCCCCAGGTGCAGGCTTATAAAAGACTTTTGTCTGTGCGGTGATGTTGTAAGCCATACCATTAAACACCACTAACATTCAGTGTTAACATGATCATCCTTTGAATACAAAGTTCAGCAATATAGCCTAGGCCATATATACGTGTTTGTGCGTGTACGACACACGATATGAAAACTGACATCAAAAGCAATTTAGGGGTTCAAGGAAGATTGTCTAACATGTTAATATCAAATACGATCTTTAGCCTTTTAGTATTACTAACTATAAATTATAGATTTGTTATATGATATCTTTTACTTTTGACTCTCCTTTAGAGCTACTCTCAGTAGTGTGTGTTAGCCTTCCTAATAGCTGAGGAAAACTATTTGACCTGTTCATATTTCATGGAGCCCACAAGAAATTCCACAAAAACTGCCTTCTCACTTCCCATACCTACCAGATATTGTACGCACAAACCCATGTCACAACATGGTAGACACACACATACACACATCTTTGTAGAAAAAAGCATTTATTAAATGCTTACTCTGTGCCAGGCACTATGATAAGTGCTAGGGATACAAAGAAAAGCAAAAACAGTCTCTGTCCTCAAAGAACCCACATTATAATGGGGGAGAAGATGTGCCTGCAAGATGTATCCAAAGTAAATTAAAAGTAATCTCAGAGATTCCCACCTCTGGAAGGCAGTTGCAGGGTGGGGCAAGCTCTTTTGTAGAAGATACAATTTGAGCTAGGTCTTATAGGAAGCCAGGGAAACTAAGAAGCAGAAGCAGAAGGAGAGCATTCTAGGCATGAGGGGCAGGCAGCCAGTGAAAAGACACAATGTATGAAACATACCTTTTTAGACATTCCCAAAGCACCACAATCTTGTCTAGGCTCTTTTTTTGATCATGGCTTTCAGATAGTCCAATAATTTTTAAATTCTCTCTCCTGGATCGAGGTCAGTTGTTTTCCGAATGAGATATTTCACATTGTTTTCTAATTTTTTATTCTTTTGGATTTGTTTTACAGTGTCTTGATTTCTCATAAAATCACTAGCTTCTAATTGC